GGAGAACTGATCAAAGCCTGCTGCAGGCGGTGGGCGGGGGCGGGAGGAGTGGGGGGGGCGGTACACAGCTGCAGCCCTGCTTCCCCCCCACCCCACCCCACGGGCCGCCCAGGGCTTTCTGGAGGCAAGAGGCTGCCCTTGCAGGGGCCTGTGGGAAAACCCAGCACTGGGGCACGGTGCGGCCAGCCCCCCAGTGCTGCTGGGCTGGGGGAACTAACCCCCACAGTGGTCCTGAAAAGAACAGGGAGGGAATCAAAGCCCAGGGCAAATGCTAGGACCACACACCTGATGAGTGCCTACCTTTCGGGGTAACAATAACTCCTGGCTTCCCTAGCACACTTCTGAAAGAGCAAACAGACTGAACAGGCCACCTCCAAGCTCCGTGCTCTTGGCAATCTGGGGGACACCCAGCCCCTCTGAAGCTCAAGTTCCTACGTGTTGGCCTCTCAGTGCCTATTCACGGCTTCCTTGTGTCCACTCTCCTCCCTGGCAACCTGAGAAACAGCGAGAAGCCTCATTCAGGGCATGACAGGGTCCCATGTGGACACCTTTAGTACACTTCTCTCAGACTGTACGGTGGTATCTGCCAGGGAACATTCTAGGGTCATCCTCCGTGTTGTTTCCGGGAAGTGAGGGAATCTGTGAAAAGGCTCTGCCTTGAGTGCTGTGTTGGTGCTGCCTGGACTGGACAACCTCAGCCCACCCTGATGGCCTCGTGCCCCTCCCCCCTGCCTGCAGCTCACCTTCCCAGGAGACCGTGAAGTGGGTGCAGCAGAGCAAAGCCATTTCCACTGTGCTCTCCGTCTCAAAGGGATGGGAAAGTTCTTTTCTTCTCCTTCCTGGGAATGGGTTTGAAGGGAGGGTGGAGGGGGATACTAATGTGGAGGCCTGGGAGGTATTTATGTAGAGGGGGAATGTGTCGAGGAAATGGGTTGTCCAGCAGTGCTGGGGAGAACTGAGAAGAGAACTTTCCAGAACTGCTGGTTTAACCAGCTGGCATTCTTTCCAAAATGGATGAACAGGGACTAGACAGAGGGCCTCAGGGTAGACTAGACAGAAATGAAGGTAGAGGCGTTTCCTCTCCCACTTCTCCAGAGACCAGATCCTAAAGAGAGGGTGGGCGGCTGGAAATGACTGACCTGCCACCCATTACCCGCTGTGAGATATATATCTTTTTATTACTTTGCCTGGAGAGATGGATAGGATTATCTCCATTTTACAGGTGATGAAACAGAGATTCCAAGAAGTGACCAAGGCTCTCCAAGGACCACACAGAGCTGCCAAGCTGGAGCTCAGTCCTCAGGAGGCCTGGCTCCAAAGTTCACAACCTTCCCCCTCTTCCCAGGCCTGCCCTGCCTCTCGGGGCTCAGCATATGTTAGTAGATGCTTCGTAAATATTTGTTAAATTGAACCGAACTGAGCAGCTGAACACACGCAGGCCGCTTTCACCCTGACTGAGAGGAATCCTTTGAGGGTCTGGGTTATGGAAAGAAATTCTCTGAGGCACCAAATAAAATCCTTCTCTGAGGTGCAAGGAGGCCTTTTTTGAAATTAATACCTAGTAAAGTTTACACAGACCCCCAAAAGGAAAAACAGAAGGGAACTGGAACAATAAAAAAGCAGAGTAGGTAGATAATAAAACTTAAGAGTGTTGTCTTTCATCCAGGAAGCACAAAGCATTCACAGGCTCTAATTACATCTTCATCCCCACGGCCCTCTCTGAAGTCGGTAGGCGCATGCTCACAGGGCCCCTCATTTTAGGCGCGGATGGATTGGGGGACTGAAAGCTCTCGCAGTTCTCCGCAAGGTAAAGGGAACATGACCTCATTCCCCAAACCTGTATTGGGTGCCACCTCCAGCTGCGCGTCCCGGCTCAGCAAATAAAACTAAGTTTTCTGAGGGGTTCAGAGGGTTGGGGGTGGGAGTTGAGAAGGTCTAGGAATGAGGGAGGCGAAGCTGAGGGCTTCTACCTCACCTCGGCCTGCACACAGTATAAATCCCCCTCTGTTTACCGGCATGCATGTTCCTTCATTCAGGCGCGTGTTCACTGTGTACGTCAGTGGGCTCTAACATGCCAGACAGCCCCTCTGATGATGCAGACAGGAAGGTGATGTCTGGACTGACACGCACCCGGAAGCTCTGGGGGGAAATTGCTCCTGGTGGGTATTGGATGTTGTGGCTCAGACAACTGGAGGTGGGTAAGGGGACTTAATTGCAAAGGAATAATTTTTTTTTTCTGGTTCATGTCCAATCATGTCATTTCTAGACTTTAATAATATAATAATAATAATTGCACATGGCTTTTTAATGGTTCTCCACTGCCGAATAGCATCAGGCACAAATTCCTTCACTAGACCCTGAAGCCCTTTCATAGTATGACTCCATCTGGGACCCCGGTCTTACCTCTTGCTGTTCTTCTAGCTTCTGTGCAGTGATCCCCAATTTGTGAGCTGCAGACCTGTGCTCAGGGGTGAAGAGTTTTAGCAAGGGGTCTGTAACTCTCTACACCGCATCAAATATGGGCTACAACCCAAATCAATAGTATGTAAAAGGCTAACTTGAAAGGTTGTCAGATGCCTACCCGCTCTTTGTCATTGTGTGTCCTTGGGTACTAAAGTTCAACAACTCTCACAGGAAAGGGTTTGCTTTATGGTAATGGTTTTCAAACTGGGGTCCACGGAAACCCCCCCCCCCCCAAGAGTCCCTGAAGTAGAGCTGGGGGAAGGATCAGGATGGAGCCAGAGTAGATGGGACCACCCTCCACCCCCACCACGTCGTTCACACACACACAACAAACTCATCCCCTCCCCTTGTAACCATAGCATCTGCTTTTTTCACTTTTGCACACCGGGACTTCTGGTAAGTTACAGGCAGTGGCCAAGGACAAAGTACACAGACTTCTAGACAGCAGAGTGGAGCAGTGTGAAAGCGGTCGCAGCCCCCTGCATGCCTACCAACAAGTGAACGGCAGTCTCTAAAGGATGCGAGGGACGGCATGCCCCCTGTCCCGACCCGCTGAGACTCCTGGCCGGTTCGCTTCTTAGATACATGACATCCGTCTGGCTCTTGGACGCACCAGATGAAGTCGTACAGTAGCCGGTCCTGTTGTTGATGCAGACAGTGTCCCCTCTGTCCATGCAGTGCGACACTTCCCACTGTTCAGGGAGGGGATGGGAGTCCTCTACATACCAGCTCTTCTTATCCCTCAGCGTTTCCACAGGGGAGTGGTCCCTCGGGGCCTCTTTTCATCTCCTTGAGTTTCTACCCAGATTAGTCTTCGCTCATGTGGCTGTGGCCTCCCACCCAGGCCTTGTGCTCAGGTCGCTTGGGCGGGCCTAGGACACTGGGATCCGTAAGAGGAAGGCAGAGCAGGACCCTGAGAGAGGACTTGCTGAAGGTCTTCAGCTGAGCCTCCATCCTCTCAGCCTGGTTTCAGATGGAATAGCACATAAAGAAACGCCCTAAACAACCCAGAACGGTGCTCATTAGTGTGTGAGACCAAGGCAGGAGACCCAGAGGGATGCCTCTAACCCTGCTTTTCACTCTGCCATCCATGCATACTTTTAAAAGCCACCTTCCTGGGGCGCCTGGGTGGCTCAGTGGGTTAAGCCTCTGCCTTCAGCCCAGGTCATGATCTCAGGGTCCTGGGATTGAGCCCCACATCAGGCTCTCTGCTTGGCAGGGAGCCTGCTTCCCCCTTTCTCTCTGCCTGCCTCTCTGCCTACTTGTGATCTCTCTCTCTGTCAAATAAATAAATAAAATCTTTAAAAAAAAAAAAAAAAGCTGCCTTCCCAACACTCTGACTTGGGGCAAATGCTAAAGAGGTTCATCTCTTTGACATGAATGCCCCGTTAGAGGCAATGGAGAAACAATAGCAAAGCAGACCCAGACCTGTCACAGCTATGACTGAACCAGTTGGAATGTGGCTCCGTGTGTGTGTGTGAGTGCGTGTGTGTGTGTACACACATGCACGTGTGCGCCCTTCAGGCTGTAACTATGGCTCCGGGTTCCTGTGTGCTGGGCATAGGCTGAGGGGGGCAAAAAGCCTGGATGCTTGAATTTATACGTGGAGGTAGTGGGGACCTATGGGAAATTTAGAGAACAGGAGTGTGTGGGTGTATGCGCACAGACGTCTGTCCGTGTGTGTTGGAGGCAATGGGAAATTCTGTGTCTGAGTAGGTGCACACATATGATGCGTGTGCACACATTCAAGTGTGCGAAGGGGAAGCTGAAAGAAAGTTTCAAGAGTTTATGAAAATCTTCAGAAGAATATCTTGGCAACTTCCCATGCCACAGGTTGGTGCACATTCGATGCTTGTGAAGTTCATTTCCTGTACTAATTACCAGCCCTGGTTTATACAGGACACAAAATATAATTTTGCAAAAACTCCAGGCATCAGAGGTGAGTTGAGGGACAGAGTACTTTGAGAGGGTGGGGGAGCAGATGCAGGGGAGCCACTGCCCTGTGTCTTTTAAAGGACCAGAGAAGCTAGAGATCTAATTGCAAAATTCCATCCTTCGTCACTCCAAAACCACTTTAGTGCCCGATCTGCTCCTCCAATAGCAGCTGGACATTTCCGCATGTGTTATGTGTTTTTAAACTTGTTGTTCCACTCGGAGCTTTCATTTGTGAGCCCGGCCCCAGGAAGTGTTTATGAGCTTTTTCACTCTGCTTTCTTCTGACTCACTTTTGTGTGGTGGCACAGAAGGGGAGAGCTTGACTTAAGCACTCTGCTCTTGTATGAGGGCCCCAGATCGTACAGGGTCCTCGGACTGGCAGCCCCAGTGACGTTGGGGACCTTGACCCAATGCCACCATGATGTGCCTGTGAGCAGACATTGCTGAACACTTCAGTACGGGGAGAAACCACACTCTATAAACAAACTCCTTGGCATGCAACCTCCTCAGCATCTACCTCACCAATATATTCATCCATGTGACACCCAGATCATAATAAATGCTCAGCAGCTGCTAATTAACCATGTCTCATTCTCTTCCAGTCAAGGGACAGGAAGCCATGATCAGAGTCAACGGAGCCACCGTTGTTCTTCAACATAGTATGGTACCTCGCTGGATCAGTTGCCCTGAACACACATGGGTTCCTGGTGCACCTGTGTGAGGGTCATGAGCCTTTGTTCTTCCTGTAGTCTCCACTCAAGGAAGGAGTAGCACAATCTCCTGGCTGTCGGGTACCATGGAAGAGAGCCCAAACCTATCAAGCATCCAAGTCTAGACACAACACAGCTCTGAGGATCACACCCGCAACCTTTGGTGCTGGTGGAAGGAAAGAGTACCAGTCAGGGAGTGTGTTAGGAGGCTCCCTGGGAGGTAGAAGCGAGAGGAGCCATTCCTTGTCCTCTAACAGGCCAAGGTCTAAGCCCTGCTTCAGGCTGTTTCTGAGCGTGGGGCTCCCATGGTGGTGGGACCCAAAGATGCCAATGGGATCACTTCCCAGGCTTTTGCTTTGTGGAGTTTGCTTTGTATTTCATCCCTGCTCGGTGAGCCTTCCTCCATCGCCCTTAAGCAATTCACACAAAATCTCATCACTAGAAAGACAGGGACCCAGGACTCCTCAGTGAATTCTGAAACTCCTTTGCCTAAAGTTCAGGAAGAAGCTTGCCAAAGAAAAAAGACCTTGAGGCAGCAGTGGAATAGGAGACAATGAGGTATAGATCGTTATCTTTCATAGGACCTCTCGGCTTCTGTTTGCTGGGGACCCTTACATAGAGTTAACCTTCTATGCAAGCTAGTGTAGACCTCTGTTGACCTGTGATTCTGATCAAGGGCCAACAGAGCCACCTCCCAGAGTGCTCCAGACAACTGTGATCACAGCCTGGGACTTGTCCTTCCTTGGCTGGAAGGGTCTCCCCCTGGAGCCAGGCCTAGCCCTGGAGGAAATGGGCTCCTGTAGGAAGTGACTTGCACTTGCCCCTCCTGCTCCAAAGCAGCAGCTTCCTGGGCACCATCCATTTGCTGCCAAGACTAGGCCCTGGGAGGATGCTGATTTTTTAGGCTTCCCTGCCCGGCCCCACAATAACCCCAACAATTGCTTTGCCCCAACAGCCTTGGAAGGGGGCCTGGTTGCATTTCCAGCCAGTAACTTCGGCATCAGGTTTTCTTATAGAGGAGTTTGCTTTTAGGGAAGGGTGGGGTTCCTCTCCTCTGTCCTCCCCAAGAATCCCATGTACCCTCCATCACTGTGCGTGTCATAGAATCATAATACACCCCTTCCTTGAGTCTTCCTCTGCTAGCCTGGAGGTCCCTGAAGGCCAAGGGCCATCTTATAAGCACACTGGAGCATGTGGGGCAGCCTGGGGTTCTGACTGGGTGAAAGTCATCAAAGGCCTACACTGAGTACCCCCAACACTCACCAGCCACTGGGCCTTGGATAAAGGCACTTTTCAAGGGGTCTGGCCCGATTCTTATCCCCATCCACTGAGATTCAGTGCTACACACCTTTACCTAAAAAATGGAGGGATATTTTTCTGACCCTCTCACTGGATTATTTATAGACCCATACATGAAAACTTTGCAAATGGCCAGTACAACACATGTAAGGAGTAGTCTCATGTTAAAGCCCCCCAGCTCCTTTCATCACCATCATCTGATGGACGGAGGCCTGGCTCTTCCTAACAGTGCTGTTTCCCATGTGACCTTCCGCGAGTTGCTTTATCTGTGAAGCCGAAGTGTAGGGCTGTTCGGGGCGAGTACTTTAAACCCTTAACTGAGTGGCATAACTGTTGGCATTGTTCTTTACTGCCATCGGTTAAATGACATGAAGACACTGAAGAGTGATGTTTAGAAGGAACTAGATCTTGGTATGATGTGGGAACCGAGTGGGTCCTACGTCTGTCCTTTATCGTCACATAAGTGCAACAGCTATCGGGTGCTTCTCCCGCTGAGGGTCAGCAAATGTTTACTGACAAGGGGCACGTAGTAAATATTTTCAGCTCTGTGGGCCATTGGGTCTCTGCCACAGTACTAAAGCAGCCATAGACGATCCATAACAAATGGGCATGGCTGTGTTGCGACAAAACTTTTATTTATGAAATCAGGCTGTGTGCTCGATTTGGCCCATGTCATGGTTTACAGAGCCCTGTTCTAGCTCAGGATAGGTGCTCAGGAAACACTTGGGAAATGGATGTGTTGAAGATAGGTGAGTAGAGACCTCTCCGCTCCTCCAGACCCTTTATTTTAATTCTGCTCACAAGGCCCGGGTTCTGTGTTCCTACCATGAGGTCACTGCCGCAAGACCCTCACCTCCACTTCAGTCCCCTCCCCCGGCTTTGAGAGATCACAGGCTCATTCAAACCCACCCACTTAATGGAGAGCAGAGTTTTTGTGACTTCCAGGATCTGTCCCCTTCCCCCGCCCTCCCCAGGACCTTTCCCCTCCATCCCGTTTGTGGGACACACAATTTGTAATCTCCTTAAAACCAAAGAAGCGAGGTCTCTGATTCATGTAGATTAAAATCAGCTGCAACCTATTAATGGCCCAGAGCCCAAGACAGATTTTAGGAAACAAAAACACTGGACCAAATTAGACTGAACTGGCCTCTGTCTCCAGGGGAGGGAGGTGGGGTAGGAGCCTGGGGATGAGGGGAGGGGCCATGTGGTTTTAATTAATTTGGATTCTCTTCCTGAAGCTAATTCACCCAACACAAAGCATGTGTAGCGTCATGGAAGCAGCCGGCCTCGGAGCTGGGCTCTCCCTGGTGAAAGCCCCGGGTCCTGTTAGGGGGGCTGGGGCTGGTTGTGTGTCTGTAATTAACAGGTTTCAAAGTGGTTATTTTGGAAAAGAGAATTTCAGTGGCGCGTTAAAATCCTTTCATCAACCATCAGCCGGCGTCCCAAGGCCTTCAGCAAGGTCCTGACCACTTAGGGCTTCAGAGAGCATGGAATTCCCAGGGTCTTATTTGAGAACGGGGAGGCTTTTGCCATGGGTTTTATGAGGCCGATGGTTGCCATGATTTTCATTATGTTGTTTGGTTACTGGGATCATAAAAATGTTTCTCTCTTCCTAGAGTACCTAAAAATATTAAAAGGAAAAGAAAAAGAGGAGTCCCGCCTCGATGGAAGTTACATAACATGCCCCCTGTGACTCCCTCATGGGAAGGGGCTGGCACTGCCTCTGGGCTGGGAGTAGGGGGCAGGGTGGATCCTGAGGCTGGAAGAGGCACTCTGTCTGCCAGCACTCTGTTCTGACCTCACATCTGAGGAAACTGAGGCCGAGGGTGATTCCCCAGCAGAAGCGGGTCCCGTCTCTTTTCTCAGACTCTCGACCAGGGGTGTCCTTTCTCCTCCTGGTACATCAATACAGTGAACAGAGTCAGAAAGGTAGAGGAGTCTGAATTCTACTGGACCCGTGCTTTAGGACACTTCTAAGAGTAGAGGGAAGTGACAGGCTTCCATGTAGCTTAAAATAAAATGCTGCAGTGGACGGGGCAGCTGCCTGAGCCAGCACTGGGCTTCCTGGCCGTGCCAGTGGGGCGAGCTCTCCTCAAACGTTAGACCAGCTGCACCGAGGCCCTGAGAGAAGAGTCGCTGGAGCCTATCTTGGCACCCAGAGCCCCGAGCTGAGGAAAGGAGGGAAATAGGTACTAAATCCCACAAGCCACAGAGATGATTTCTTACCGCTCTGAATACAAAACCTCTGAAATCTGGTCAAGCTCCCAGAATCACCATATGGGGTGACAGGAACTTTGAGTCTGTGTTATCTGCTAAATGGAACACCAGCCTGGCTTTACTTCCTATTTTGATGATGGCTACCTTCCAGAACGTTCTTTCATGAAGGACATGAAAAATATTTTGGGAGAGTTGCTATTTAATAACCTCTGGTGCTTGAAAACAATGGACGGTCTCCAGAGCAGCAAGGCTTGCTTTCCGTAGGACACCAGCTAGATAGACCGAATCCACAATAAAGCCATAATACAATTTTTCAGAAGTTGAGAGAGTGTCAGAACTGGGAGGGAAATTCAACACCAGCTCATCCAGGCCAGTGTTACAGATAGGGAAACTGAGGCCTTGGAGCTGGAGTAGAGGTTCCAGCCCATGGTTCCCAGCAATCAGGGTTTGCTAAACTATATCATTCTTCGCTTTGCCTTGACGTTGTCATTCACTCATTCAGTACTTACTGATTACCTCCTGTGCGTCAGACACTTCTAGACACTGCTAATTTTGTTTCTTTGAAGTTTTGAGATGAAATGAAAGAGATACAATTCTGTGGAATACCTTAAAGAAGGTAAGGAAATATCCCGCCCCCACCCCCCAAATCCAGGTCTTAGGAAAACTTCGTGAGCCTGGGCATTCTGGAGAAACATCTGCTGTCCTGGGTGTACCTTTCAGAAGGCTGAGTGATATCATTGTCACAAAGAGATGGGACTTACCTGCTGGAGTCTGCTTATAATCCCCACCTCGCTCCCAACACCCCTTACCTGGGTGGCCTGGCCCAAATGACTCTGGGACTGAAAATTGTTAAGGATTCTCTGGGTCCAAGGTTGAGTGGGTGCTGGTGGGAACCCAGGTCTGTTGAAGGCACGCAGTTTCCTCAATCTGTTTCCCATCGTTCTCCTCCCACAGTTCACTTGTCAGTCCTTTGCTCTTGTTTACCTCTGTGTGAAGAATTCCTTGATTATAAATAGAGAACTTGGCACTGAGTTTTGAATTATCTGTGATCTTTAACTTTCTCAGGGCAAAAGAAATTAAACCAACAGATCTCTTAGTTTCTCATGGTTCAGTATCCAAGCCACGGAAGCCCTGATCTGTGTAGAGTGAGCCAAGCCTGAGCCTCCCTACCCCTCCACACCCCCTTGCGCTTACAGGAAGAAGTCACACGTGCATTCATTTATTCATTGATTCCTTCAACAAATATTCAGTGAGCACCTACGTGCCAGACTCTATTCTAGACACTGGAGATATGGAGTGAAAAAAAGCAATGTCTGTCCCTACCCTGTTTGCATCTTAGTGGGGGTGACAAACAGTAGGCAAACCAACCAACCAGCACCAACAACAAATATGCATGTATGTATGTAGATATATACATGTATCAACTAGCGATAGGTACCTGGAAAAAAAATACAGCCAGGTAGAGAGAGATCGGGGTGGGGGTGCACTCTGTTGCACACAGTGGAGCAGGAAGGCCTTTCTGAAGAGGTGACATTTGGGTAGAGGCTGAATGAAGAGAGAGTGAGCCACATTCAAGTCTGAGAAAGAGCATTCCAGGCCTGGGACGAGGACAAGGGTGACAAGTGTTGAGGAACGGCTAGGAGATCAGGGACTGGAGCAGAGTGAATGGTAGGCACGACCTGGGACAGGAGGTCAGAGAAGTGGGTGGGGCCGGCTCAGGGAAGGAAGGCTTTGGCGTTTGTTCTGAGCATCCTGGGGTGTCTCTGGAGGCTTTGGAGCAGGGCAGTGACCTGTCAGGGATGCATACCGGGAGGCTGGAGGGAAGCTGACGACAGCATGACAGGCCGGCTCGGGTTAAACATTTGCATTCAGACACATGGTGGATGGTAGCTCTACCTTTGAGGGCTACATGTTTCAGCAGGGTGGGGCTGGGCCTGGGAACTCACCACCTCTATACCAATTAGTCTTAAGCCCAAAAAAAGGAAATGCTGATGTTTAAATAGCAGGGTTGGGACCCATGAGTCATAGAACCCTCCATTAACTGGGCCACTATTGGTAAGCTCTGGAAAGCGGCTGGTGCAGGGTCTCGATCATCTAGCTGGGGTATTGGGCCACTTGTTGGCACCTCTGTGGGGGCCTCTAGACACAGTCAGAAAAATCAGACTCAAGTACAGACCTGGCCTTTAGGGGGCCTGGCTGTATTTTTGGCTGACTGTATACTGTCTCAGCAGTTTCCTTCCCAGGGCCTCTCATTTTGCAAAATGCAGGCTACCTCACTGGGGAATAGAAGGGAGAAGAAAAAGCCATGGGCTCTGGGTTCTGTCAGCCTGGGATGCAACCTTTGCCTTTCTACTTACCAAGTTTTTGAAAGCTTTTTTTTTTTTTAAGATTTTATTTGTTACTTGAGAGAGAGAAAGAGTGAACATGAATTGGGGGAGAGGCAGAGGGAGAAACAGACTGCCCGCTGAGCAGGGAGCCTGATGCAGGGCCCAATCCTGGGACCCTGGGATCATGACCTCAGCCGAAGGTAGAAGCTTAGCTGACTGAGCCACCCAGGCGACCCCTTTTCGAAAGCTTTTTTAAAAAGCTACTGAACTGGGGCACCTGGGCGGCTCAGTGGGTTAAAGCCTCTGCCTTCGGCTCAGGTCATGATCCCAGGGTCCTAGGATCGAGCCCCTCATCGGGCTCTCTGCTCAGCAAGGAACCTGCTTCCTCCTCTCTCTCTCTGCCTGCCTCTCTGCCTACTTGTGATCTGTCTGTC